TCTCTCTCTCTCTCTCTCTCTCTCTCTCTTTCTCTCTCTCAGATTCACAAACAACATCCTCATCTTTAATTAGCCTTTGAATTGCATTTCTTTTCTTGCTTTGCAAGGCACAAGCATGAAAAAACTTTGTGTTACAATCATTTTCTTTAAGCCACAAGGCTCTGGCTTTCAATCTCCAGTATATTTCTTCCTCATGATGAGCTTTGTCAAGTTCAGTTTTCGCTGCTTTCCAAGAATCCCAATTCCTTGCACTACTCTCCTTTCCCATCTCTTGTATCTTTGAAGTGAGCTTCTGAATTACTTTCTCATAGTTTTTTTCTGGAAGGTTTATTCCAAGCCAATAAGGCCATTCTGGTATGTTTAATTTTTTCATGCACCTTAAACATAGGTGTTTCTTCACAAGTAATTGCCCAACCTGATTCTACAACTTCTGTGATACCTCTATTCTGATCTAATTGTTGTCAAACTGAAATCTTTTCTTCCGTTTATGTTTTCCTCTGCCAGTGTCTATCAAGATGACATTATGGTCAGAGAATCTCCTGAAGAAATTTGATACTAGCACATTTCGAAAGCACCTAATCTAGCCAAGAGATGCAAAGACCTTGTCCAACTCTTTTCCATGTACCCCTCTTCTTCCCTATTATTTCCCTATGTGAAGAAGGATCCACACTGACTGAGTTCTTGCATTCCCATCTCCTGAATAAACTTATTAAAACCAACAAAGCTACTCTCTACTCTCTTCATGCCCTCCATATTTTCCTCATCACTACTTATGTCATTCAAGTCTCCAACCAGAGCCCAGCAATTCCCTAAATACTTCATTTCCTTCACCAGATAGCTCCACTATAATTCTAGCTGACTTTTATCAGTGCTCATGTAGACTAAGATCAACCAAGACAAATCATTAACCCCAATGCCTTTCGCCTCTACCTGAAGATAGAAATAATTTCATATTACTTTCTTCAACTCTGTATTTAGATCCCACATCAGGAGTAGACCACCCCTGTACCAATGGGTTTCTCCAAGTACCACCTATTTTTATAGTCTAGCTTCCGGTACATTGCTTTTATATAATCCAGAGACTTCTTGGTTTAAGACAGAAAAATAAGGTTTAGGTGGTGGATTCTCCTTAAATCCTTGATCTGGGAGACTGTAGAGGGCCCACTAGGTCCTTCACAGTTCCATACCATCAGTTTCATTTATCACTCTGGGGCCACTCAATGTTGGCCTTCTACACATTTAATTCTGTCAGTTTTGTTTTTTTCTCCTTCTTTGATTCAGTTTCTCCCAAACTTTTCGGACTAGCTTGACACTATAAGCCATCTCTACCATATTTCTGTCAGTTTTGATGATCCTCAAGAATCACCAACACCTTATCAACCTCCATAAACCCATAAAACATCTCCACCATATTTTTGTTTCCTCCATTCTTTCTTCTTCTGCCACATCTTCCAACCTCAAATGAACAGGTTCACCTTTCCTTTCTCCTGAAGGATCCCTTGGAAGCAAGGATGAGATACCTTTCTTCTCATTGATTTTTTTAGAGCTACTTTGAAGAGGGTTTGGAGGTGTGTCTGCAGAGGCATTAGAATCTAGTTTAGAATTCAATGTCTGAGATCCCATTTTATTTCCTGAGCTGCTATGTTAGTTGTTTCTCCTCCTCCCCCTCCCGCCCCCCCCTAGAGTGGTCTCACTTTCTTTTAACCACTCTCCAAATTACACCTATTTCTCTTTTCCCAATTCATTAACTTCCATCCTAAGCTCACAGTTCTTGTCTAAATGTCATATTTTTTCATACAGTAACATATGTTTACAAGTTTCTCATCTCTGAAAGTCACCAATACCTTTTGATTCTCTAATTTCACATGGGTGCATCTAGAAATGGGTTTCTTCAGATTGACTGAGACAAGAAGCTTAATGTAACAACATGTTTCTCCTCCTGCCTTACAGATATAAACATTCTTCACTCCCTTGAAAACTTTTCCAATCTTCATACCCACTTCCGTACACATCAAGTTGAGAGGGATATTGAAGACTTGCACCCATAAATTAATCTCTTAAAAACATTTGTGTTTTCTATTAAAGCCCGAAATCCACTCTTGAAGAATCAAGTATTGGTTTGCAAATAACCATTTATGTACCGCAACAACTTTTTCTTATCCTCTACCGTGTCGAAAATAAATTCAAATAAGTTGAACTCCAATTCCTTTACCTCGAGCTCTTGTTGTACTTTCCAAATGGTTTCCATGGTCCTCTTAATTCCCAGTAAGCCGACCTACTATTTTCCCGAATAGGCTATGGAGAACTATCGAAGCTGCCACGCGTATTCAAGATAATGTAATTTATTGTTTCTTTTCCTCTATAAATAGCAACCATCAGCGCTTCATGAGGGCATCGAAAAATAAATATTATCTTCTCCACATAAATTATGACTAGTGTAATAATACTTGTATTCAATCTTTTCCTTTTTAATCTCCATTAAAGAGAAACGAACCTACTTAACATTTTCAGTTCTCTATTCCTTTTTTTTTTTTGAAACGGCAGATTCTCTAACTAAAACACATAACTACAATCAACTAAGCTAGCTGGAATAAGAGGACTACACAAAACAGCATAGCTACCAAACCGAAAGAAAAATAAAAAGCTTTCACAAGGTCCTAACGGCAGAATAACACGCTCCCAAAAGGAGAATAACACACTCCTATAGAAGAGAGAAAAAAAAACAACAACCAAAATAGACACCCTACACTAAAACACAGAGAAACACGAACCACAATAACAAAAGAAAAACACCTAGAATACTAGAATAAGCCCTTCTCACTAGCCTGACAGCCCCGCCAATACACCAACACTCCAAACCACCGACGACACTTACCCAAAAGGCATGAGGTATGGTTCAAGACCGAGATCCAGAAACTCCCTTCAAACGACGGCTAACCAGACCCCGTCCAAAGACCAACCAAACACCACCGAAAGAACACCTGTAGGCCCTATTCCTGTTTTTAGATTCATAAATATAGTTGTGTGCATTTCACAGTATACTCTTCATAACTAAAACTTTATTTTAAAAGTATCATTTAAATTTTAGGTTAATTTCGACTATCAACAGATATCACAAGTAAAATTTACCCTACTAATCATTTTAGTCTCCTTGAATACTGAAGCCAAAGTTTAGGATAGTTAACAAATCGAATAAGAAACGAATATTCAACTATTCAATTCGGAATCGTAAAAATATTTGAGTATCCGAATACATACTCGAGTTCCTATTGAAATTCAATTTTTGATTCAAATTCGATTTGATTTGAAATTTATTTTTAAAGAATATATATATATATATTTATATATTTATATTATTATATAAAATATAAAATTTTATATATTATTTAAATATATACATTTACCAAATTAGAATAAATCTATCTATCTCGTTTACCACCTATATGGACAGGCCTCAACTTCCCAATCCCACCCGGCCTAGTCACGAGCCACCCGCTCAATTTGGCACCAGGCAAAGCCCAGTTTTTCTTTTCAACCGGACTGAAAAACAAAAAAACATCCAAAGGCACAGTTTGGTCCAAGCCTCCAAGGGAGAGCTACGCCATCAAACACTCGGTCCTGGAGAGTGGAGAGTCCTCTTTGTCTTTCACACGTGAGTCTCCGCCCTACCTCGCCGCCCTCCCTCTCTTCCACCTGCTTCGAGATCCCTAGCCACCGCCAGCTCGCCGGCGGCTCTGAAACTCCGGTCAGTAATCACCTTAAGTCGGGCCACAGTTTTTGAGGAAAGAGGGTTTTGAAAGAGTTTTTATTTATTATTCTTCAAAATCATGACTTTATAGTTGCTTGAGCCAAATTTATTAGCTGGGCTGAGATCGTCTTCGTATTCTTGAAAACACGACGATAAAGTGAATTTAGTGAGGCTCTTTTTAAGAACCCTTGTTAGGACAGATTTCAATTATTCAACTTTAAGATGTTTTCTTTTATGTGCTATGATTTACTTGAACGCCAATTAAAGAAAGCTCGCCCCCAGTTTCCTCGTAATTATATATAGCTAAAACTCAAACCCTAACTGTAGTATTTCATCCCTTACCTTTTAGTACACAGGAATGTAGAAAGCCCATGTGAGGTCAACATTTTCACTCACTAGAGAGCTTGATCATTGACCTTGGAATCAGAATTTCAGAGAAAGTTAGAATTTTGAAGATGAGCATAGTACAGAAAGAAACGATCGAGGTGATAGCACAGAGTGTTGGTATTTCCAATTTATCCCCCGATGTGTTGCCTGCTCTGGCAGCTGATGTAGAGTACCGCGTTCGTGAAATTATGCAGGTTACTGTTTCCAAATTTTCTCTTTTTTTCAGAGTCAGTAGACTGCTGTAAAGTATGCAACTTTGTGTCTTCAGTCTTCAAAGATTTTGTATGTGCATTTTTGTTGAATTCGTTACAGGAAGCTATCAAATGCATGCGTCATTCGAGGAGAACTACTTTAACTACGGATGATGTTGATAGTGCTCTCAGCATGAGGAATGTTGAGGTGTGCCTGCACGTATACTATTAGTTTTCCCTATTTGTGTAAATTCTTACTATTGGTTTCTTCCATGTTTCTTCTTCTTCTTCTTCTTCTTCTTCTTCTTCTTCTTCTTCTTCTTCTTCTTCTTCTTCTTCTTCTTCTTCTTCTTCTTCTTCCTCTTCTTCTTCTTCTTCTTCTTTTGTTTT